CGGAATATCACGCAAGATACCATAGGGCATACTTACATAGAAAAGCACAATAACCTAATTTACCTGTCATTGGAGCGTCTTTCAGACCAGGAGGACGCACAACCGTATATTTAATATCGTCGTTCTGTTGTGCGCATGCCATTATCATATCCTCCATTTCCGACATGTTGGTAAGAATTCTACCAATGAGGAATGTATTTAGCAGCCACTCCATCCAGAATGGTCCATGATCTTTGGGGTCATCTAGAAAGAAAATCCCATAATATGTTAAACACTCCAATTAAAGATAATGACGTCGGCATTATTGGAAGCTGACGTAAACTCATATAAATTATTTTAAGCCGCCAATAGTTATACGAATTTTGTTAAGTTTTATGTCCGCACCTCACATTACCATATTGTGCTATCCACAGCAAAACTATTATAGTGTAAACACATTAATTTATGAATAATCATTACTTTTTATTATAGTCAAAACGAATCGTCATGTGATAATTACATTTTGTTCCCCAAGCTGTAACAGTAGCGAGTCGTTTAACTCCGGCTGTTCGCATGGCCTCTAGGATGCTTCTCATGGTATCTGTATATAGAGTAACTTTGAATAAAGTTGGCGTATTTGTGCCTATACACGAAATAACAACATCCTGCTCTTGAAATTGTTGAGCTAGAAATTCAGCGGACATCACATTTCCCGAAACCACCTAAAACAAACGAATATCAGTAAAACGTCTATAGTTATTAAACGTTTTTGCAAACGTTGTAAATTGTCCTTAGCCTATGTTATGTCAATAAATTACGTCAATACAACGTCACAGCATTAGCAACGTTATTTAGTTGGAAATTAAATAACGTAATTGTATAGTTCTACAAAAAAATAAAACCAACATTAAGCAATCTAAGTTAGTAGATCAACACACACAAACTATGTATCTGTTATAATAACGTATAGGAAATATTTAATCTTTACTCCAATGCAACTCGATAGCTCCACAATTAGCGTCCATACTTTTATATATATATAAGTATTTAAGTCTGATTAAACGTAACTTTTTGGAAAAAATGTACTGGACGTAAGAAATGACTGGGTCCTACTTCGAGATGCTGAGTAAAGTCCCTCTTAATAGGCCTACACTGATTAAATATTAATATTAATTGCGAGGTTGCTGTATGCATACTTGGGATCCAAAATTGAGCAATCACTCAGAAACCGCACATGCTATCGGTATAGATATCAATATTTAATACTTCATATCCACAGACCAACTGTGCCACGGGCCCGGGGCCTCTGTGTTAGGAATAAAAATACCATATACTAGTGCACCCTCCAAAGCGAGACTCCCCTAATTCCGAGACCACTTTTTCAAAGAACTAAATAACTTTCGGTTATAAATATTTATCGAGCTATAAATATATATATATATGTATATATA